TTATTGGCACAACTTCGAAAAAGTTTTCCACATTTTTGGTTTTTTATATTCCTCTTGGTTTTTGCTTTTGTTCTAGGCCAACACCTTTAACATGTTTTTGGCAGCCCCGCATAAAACAAAAAAGAGTGCGAAAGTTTCCCACTCCATCGTTGCCCCTCTCGCTCACTCCCCTTCTCCATCTCTTTCCCACCCGGTTTGCATGACGCGTTGAATAGTTTTCGCAGTTTTTTGTTTGTTCATGTGCCAGGTGCAAGGTAATGGGTTAATTAGCCCTGCGCCCCGACCACCAAGGGTTAATTAAGTGGCATGAAATTCGGGAGAAAAAATCCCTGCCAAAATTGATTATAACAACAAAGAAAATTAAAACAGTAAAATCAACCAAATTGAAAATGGGTCACGGAAGATGAAAGTTGGTTTCTGACGGTTGAATTTAGGGATCAAAAGTAACTTTGATTTGGGTTATGCTAAAAGGTTGCTTCACATAGATCATGAAGAGATATCCTATATTTGAGGTTCAAAGTCAAGTCAGATAATTAAATGAGGCAAGATTTGATTTAAATAGAAAGATCATATCATTCATTTCTGTATCACTTTGGTATATTTAGAGTACCATAAAAATAGAAAATAATTTAAAAGAAATAAAATACCGACAACAGAACACAGTTTTCTTATGAAGTTTGTTTCAAGTGGTGCACCCTCTGGGACAATATTTATCTAAGGGTGACTTTCGATCGATCGATTGATACATCAAGTGGATGGCCTCCCCCAAGATTCAATTACTCCACGTACAATAACTCAATTCAAGACACAGAATCCCAGAAGATGACTCAGTCTCACACACTCGAAGAGTTTCTTGGAAAATATCAGAGTAACCCCAAACTTGAAAAATATCATCCCTTAAAGTCTGGAGACCCCATCCTTATATTTACTTTATAAAGCTTACAAATTCGTGCAAAAAATATTTTCGGGGGAGCCACAGAATGCATTAGATATGTTAGAAAAGAAGGAAAAACATAAAACCGAAACACAAAGGAACTAACAAGCGGTTCCACCTACTCCTCCCAACTTGCAAACTCTTTTAAGTGATTTCAACCCGGAAATGCCCATAAATCGATTGGATCTTGAGAGAGTGGGGAGTAGGATAGGTTGTCTGTGGGTTTCCCTACACAGAAAAAATTCATGTTATCAAAAAGTCATCTTTCATAGTTACACACATTTATAAAGCTTAACATAAAATTTACCTATCAATTTTTTGCAACACTTAAATAAAAAAAATGTTTTTTTTTTATAAGTATACTATATATTTCATAGATCTCTGTCAAAGCTTAACTTTTAAGGGACGAGACACATGCAGTTGCTTTTTTCTCAGTGTTTCGGTTTCTTCGTCTGCGGATGCATCAGACTTTATGGGCTAAATGAATGAATTGAAATGGGTGTGGACGAGTGTGTGTGGCTTGTATCGACTTGTGGCACAATTGTCTGGATTTGCTCCCCCAACCCGCCTTGGGTAACCGCCCCCGTACGTGGGGTGCAATGCAAATAAAAGTTCATTACAAGCTCAGGCCAAGGCGCTTAAAAAAACTGTTGTACCCGAGGCTTTTGTTATATTCCCCGGCCTGTCCCACTTTGTGTTGTGTATTCTGCCTCTTTTATGGTCAATGGCCCCGTTCTGGCGCTTCGAATTGTGGGTGGGAAACGGAGAAGTCGCCTGGCCGGAAATGCCACATCCGTGTACAAGTCCATAAAGTCAATAAGGAAAAAAAAAGGAAGAAAAAGCGGTTAAGCCAAAGGAAATTTTGAAAAGCCAAAGGGGAAATAAATTAAGAATAAGCAATGATTTTCCAACTTCTGTTTCCTCACATTTATGATATGGATGTCCGGTTGAGAGTCCTCGGTTAAAGCCCTTCGATCGTTAAATCTTTGAAAATAATATGACTTTTATGGACGACAGCTATTGGCTGAATATATACGACATAAGTTTACGACATGGGATTCGAGAGATTATAAAACCAGCATTAGCCATAAAATCTGTCGGAGTTTTATCTATGACAACTGCTGAAAGAACAACGACGCGTATTAATTGAAAATGTCACCGATCCGAGGCAATTATCGTAAATTATGCACACGCGCCCGAATCCAAATATTATTATTATTTTTATTACGTGCGTAGGCAAAACAAAAACCAAGAAATCCAAGTCACCCTCTAAAATTTGATGTCGTCTTCTTCAGGGTGAGTTGTGCATAATGAAAAGTCAACAAATGTGAATCAGAAAAGGGAAGTTGGCAGAAGTATAAAATAGGGCTACAACGTGTTCCATTGTTTCAGCGGTGGTTGCTCGACTTCCTCCGAATCTTTGAAGTTGACTTGCGGAAATTGAAAACTTAATTGGCAGAGCTGTCATGTTGCCATGTTTCGTTCTAATTAAATAAAAGGCAGAAAACAAAAAAGAGGACTTTCATTTAAAGAAATGAGTTTCCCAACCGATACTCTATATTTAAAAAAATAGAAAGTATTTCCAGGAGCTTTGTGTAGTCATAGTATACAAATAATCTCCTTTTTCACAAAAAAATAATATATCCCAATTTTAATAATCTTCCATTAAACCAACGAGTATTTTCCTGGATCTATTCCTGAAAATATATGTACATATCTCCCACTAAAACCTTCATGGGTGACTCATGAGCAGACATAACAAATAAATCCCCTCAGAAAATCAGAGCCAGCCAAATCCCGTAAATCGCAAATTTTCTATGCATTTTACCCGTTTGCAGAGTCAGATGTGGAGAAAAGGAACCAATTCAACCCCAGACGGGAGAATATATATGAAATGGAACCATAAAAAATGCAACAGACCATAATAATTTCAACGTTTATTTTTTTCGAACATTTTCTGCTTTTGTCGCAATCTTCCACAAGTTTCCACGGCATCTACCCCCCTTTGGCCCATCGAATTCAGGGTCTGACTATGCAAAAATGCAGCAGCCAAAAAGCACATAAAATTATTATGTGACGAGGAACGTGGGGAGTGAAAATCGGGGGCTGTGGGGAGGATGTGGAGGGACAATGCTCAAAGGCATTTCGGACTCGACCAAAAATCAGACTCAGCATGTGCGCATAAAGCTCAAATAAACTCAAGTTGTTGACAAAGGGGTTAAAGGCCATAATTGTGGCTGTCGGCAAAGGGGGGTTTATATGAAAATGGGGTGGCCTAACCCTTCTCCAGGGGGAACCTCCCGAACGTGCCGGTCGGAGAGTGGAATTTTCATTGGATGTGTAAACAAAACCAGCGGGAGAAAATGAACCAGATGAGCTGGTCGGAAAAGCATTCCACAAAGTTATACTAACAAGGCATGTCATTTTCTTGGAATTTTATTTAAAATTTGAAAATTATAAAAACATTTTTAAACAAAAACTTAATCAATTTAAATAAATTCTAAATAATGTTTTCAACATTTCATACTACAAACACAGCATTGAAAAATATTTATGTAAAAATAATTATTAATAATCAATAATCAATAACTGAATACAATAGTTTGAAAATTCTCCAAATTTTTGTTTTTTCACTTTCTTTTATCTTTTTTTTTATTCGCCTCATCCTTTTCCCTATGCTTCGGCTTCCTTTCTCATCTCAACGAAGAGATTTCTTTACAAAGCTAATAAAATGCATTATCAAACTTTTGCAGAAGTTCTTTGAAAAGCAACTCCATAAAATCAAATTTATGTGTTACCTTCATTGTCGTACACCCATTTATATACCTTACCTTCGCCTTAAAGCTTCTTCTTCGCTCATTTCCCATATCGTTTTTACTCCCTCAACTGCAGGGGGACAAAACCTTCGGTCGCACTTTAAATAAGCATTAAATTGATACAGCAGAAAGTTGTTTCCGTCTCTATCCCCTTTCTCTCGCCATCTCTTTCTACGGAGACGCACTCCAGACACATTCTAATCGCTTTATAACTTCTAACGCAGTTTATCAGAATCCCACCGCAGCTCACAACCCCTCATCCCTTAATTCCACCACCCCCAAACACATCCCACCCAAAGCATTAAAAAGGCTCAAAGGCAAAAGTTATTGTCACGCACTAAAGTCGCATTCATGTGGAGTTGTGTGGTGCACCGAGAAAAAAAAATTGGTAAAAGCTTTAGATTTGTGGTACCAATAAGCTTTTCCTTAATATCAATATCTAATCAGCACAATATGAGCTGTAGATTCAAAATATACAATCGCAATCAGTTGCGGCAATCTAGTCGGTGCAAAAATAAAAGTAATCATTTTGTAACATTTTTGGAATAATCCAATTTGCATTACGCAAAATGATTCAATGTTTTGTACTGGTTTTTTTTTTAAAGTAAACAAGTTACCAAAAGCTTATGGCTTTTTTTCAGTGCTATTCTTTTATGGAAATGGCTGAAAAGGGGATATTCAGAACCCAACCCAATGAGCCAATCTCCATGCAAAAGCTCCCTGGGTGAAGCCTTCCTGCTCGCACTTTCTCTAGGGTTTTGTTGGATGTCTCTAGTGGGTTTTTGCTTTTCCTTTGCCTTTTTCTTTCGCACTTTATTTTCTTTTCACTTTTTGGAAACTACGTCTGCAAACAAGGCGGAAATTATTGTCGGTTGCGACTTGCAGTTTTTTTTAGCTTTTCTTTTTCAAAGCAATCCGTTTTTTTGCAATGTCAAATTGTTATTGTGTCTGCGCAATACTTTTATTTTTGCTTTTACTGTGATTGCATTGGTTATGAATGGAAACAAGTAAAGTACCCTAAAATGTCTGAATTAGTCCAATGAGTAATTCTCTGTATATATTGCACAGCAATATTGCTATCTTTATAGCCCTATTTTAGCAATAACAACAGAATCAAAGTGAATCCCAAATGAGTCAGTCCAAAACACACCCCTTCCGATAAGATAAGCTTGTACTGAACAATATTATCTGAAGTGTCAATCCAGTGAATTGGAAATGTGTATAAATTGGTCGTATCTGCGCATTGGAAAGCAGTTCGAATTCAATAAGCAACGAGAGCAGTTCTCCAAAGGAATACTTCAGTTTCAAAAGGATATAAAGGATTAAAAAAGTACCAACAAAATGTCGCCGCCACACCACGAAGATCGTCTCTTTGGAATCCACTTCGGATTGAACCTGGGTGGTCATGGACACCATCACCACCATCACCACCCACCGCCGCCGCCACCGGTGCACCACCACCACCACCATGGACCTCCGCACCACCACGGACCTCCGCCGCACCACCACCATCACTATGGACCTCCTCCGCCGCCCCACTTTGATCATCATCACCACCACGGAGGCCACTTTGATCATCATCATGGTCCGCCGCACGGACACCATCATCATCACTGGTAGTCCAGGAAAAATGATTGGAAAAAGTCAGTCTTCGAAGGACTTCTTTACTAGTGGAACGTGAATTTATATATAAGAATTTAATTTATTACGTCAGCGTGGAACAAAAATAACTCAAAAACCTTAAAAGGCTGATTACAGCACCAAAAACAAAATAAAATAAAAAAACTATCAAACAAAAAAAGTAAAATATATTGTTTTATACAAAAAACTATTTACACATTTTTTACTTGAAGTGGGTAAGGTTAAAGCTCTAGTTCACCTTTAATTGTATTAAGTATGTACATGATCAATTAATAAATTTCAGTACATGAACGAAAACAGCAATTACTTGACAAGAAACTACTTATAAAAGTTGAAAATAGCATTTAATCTTATCTTTATAGACATAACTGACACGTTAAAATTACGTACGACGTGCAAAGCCAATTGAGTCAAGAATATTTCTAAAAAAAAAAAGTATAACTAAAGAAATTCTAAACCAATAAGAAGATTAATTCGAACCACAAACACAAAGCCAGACCACCCACAAAACAATTTGCTAAGCCGATAAACACAAATGAAATTAAATATAATTTCAGTGCGATTTAGTTTCGCTTCGTGTGGGTCAACAAACAAACTGTTTGGCCAATTACAAAACCATTTCAAAGTGTTTTTATTTTATTTTTTCTGCGGTTGTCACAAAACGCTAATTAGACAGCAGCTACCATATAGAGTGGTTCCCTCCACAAACCCCTATACATTTGTCTGTGGGTTACGGCCTGTCATAAAATGTAAAATGCTGCCCCCGGCGTGGGTCGTATGGGTATATGGGTATCGACACCTGGAAAATATTGGTAATTAAAATTTGCCAGTTGTCGGCCAGTAAACCCAAAAAAAACCGCTTCCATTTTGGCCTGTCTAATAATGTTGTAAAACATGTTGCCATTAAGTAAAGCGACAGACGCCAAAACGCCCCAAAGGCAAAAGCTAAAAAAAAACAGGAAAAACAAGGAAAATGATTAAGTGGTAGGGAAATACCCTATATTTCATTTGGCAACATGCCAAAAATATATGTAGCAAAAGGTAAATTTGTGCAGCTTAACTTTCAAAGTTTTTTTTAGTAAGAAATTACTATTAAGCTTTATTGTAAAGCAATATAAAATATTTAATCAAAAATCAAACCTTTTTTTTATAGTATATACCTCTTATCCAATCTTAATATACCTTGAACTATTCTATATATATACCATCGCTATTCCACTGACAAGTTGCGCTAATGGAATTGGTAGCCGCTCGTGACACTCGAGCACTCTCTTCAGGTTTTCGGACCAAGACTGTCAATTAAATATGAAAATTATTCGTAGTCAGCCGCCGATCAACGAATTTTTGACAATTTCATGGGACAGTTCGACAATTGACAGTCGGGGGATTGGAGTGCCCCTCCCCCTTTAAGATTGAGTAGATGACAATTAACGTCTCAATTTATAAATGTCGCTTCTGGAAAATCCATTCCTCAAGCCGAGTTGCTTGCTTTTAATTAAAAAACTTAAATTATGCCTGTGGCCTGTCTTGATCCATGTTTCAACCGCAAATGGAGCCGCTCGGCAACTTCGACTGAGGCTCTGCGTATATCTTAATTGTTATTTGTATTTAATTATATGGCAAGCAGGGACCAAGTTTGCCACGAAGGCTGAAAATGTTGGAAAAACAACAGCAAGCGGGTGAGGAAAATATCAAGTCGAAGTTTCTTCGCCTTTTTTTCCATAATTAAAATGTTTACTTTGCATAGTTGGCCAAGTGTTGACTCTACGGGTAAGAAGGTGAGCGTCGGGAGGTGAAAGATGAGAGAAAACAATGGGCAAAGAGGCTGGGTATCCGTCAGATACTATCTATGATTATGCAAGAGCGCGCGAAATAATGCATGACACGATGAAAGTGAAAAATCCGTGAGACTATTGAGTAACTGCATGAATTTCACTTGAGATTTTTTTCAATCTGTAGTTGACAGTGGTTTTAAATATCTGCAATATTTCTTAACTGAACACCTGCCTTATTTCATGCCAAACACTATAAATAAACTATTAGGACAGAAAACCTGCTGCATTTCTCCATCAACGAAGTTACTAATTTCCCAATTTCCTCTTCTTTCAGGTATGTACTCAAGGCGTTTCCACACCATAAACTAGAGTTATGAGTTGAGTAAGTAAGTTCAGGCACTGATCACCAATTCGACCTGATGGTCCATTAATGAGTTTACCCAACTAACCAACTGAAGTACAAGCCAATAACATAGAACCAGAAAACGAGACTGCCATAGACCGCAATCAAATCGGGAGAATAAACCCATTACCGTACTCACTGAACATCGTGTAGAAATGGGTGGACTAATCATAAGCCCATTCACATAACAATCAATGGCAATTTCTGGAATTCAGTTCGCAGGATTACTTCGAAATAATTTAATAAACCCATGAAAAATCAAAAATACGATAAGTACGCAGGGACAACGGGGTTATCCTCCTCCACCCACGCGGGGCAATAAAAATTCCCCAGCGCAGACTCTCATTAAATAAACATACTCGGGCTGGGAGACAAAGGCCTGGCCAAATCGAGTACGCATTCCGGAAAACTAGTACCAAACTGAGGCCGCGTAATGTCGCTTGTTAGTACTAATGATGGGCTGGACCCCTGTTCCCATGCGATCTCCTCGTAACCTCTTATATTCCGCGCCGGCGGGAAAACGCAAAAATAAATTTGTACATCTGCGATAGAAGCCGCGATATGGAAGCCATGGCCGAGACCTCGGAAGGCCAAGAAAGAGCATTGCCCATTTCGCCTGCTTGTCATAAATTGCCATGGAGCGCCAACAACAAGTTTCCTTTGACTTCGAGCGTTCTAGGCTTTTTTTTCATTCTCAGGGATGGCAACGTGATTTACACACAGTAGTAGTAAATAGCCCTAATAAAAATAATTAAAAATGGTTTTAAGCACTCATAAAACTGTTTTACAAAGGGATAAAGTTATCAAGTACAATGCACTACCTTCTAAAAATTAGAATTAAAATAACAAGAAGTTTTCAGCCATTCTTAAAAGATATGTTAGTTAAAAACCAATTTAAAAATATAAAATAATTTAAATGGGTCATTTTAATATACATTAATTAAATTGAGTTTGTCTGATTCTTTTTCTGTCTGCATTGGATTTTGGATAGTTTTTGTACGATCAAAACAAAGTTTCCCATTTGATTACCGAGCAAGCAAATCTCTCTTTGAATTCTAGTAATGTTTTTCCTAGTTTCCGATTCGTGAGTTTCCTGCAACTCATCTCTAATCCGAAGTCAAGACACCCAGGACCGGCCAAAAAGCGAGTCGGCCACAGTCCATTGGATCCCGACGGTCGCGTCCAGGCTGTAAAAATTAATAGCCAACATAATAAGCGGCATTTTATGACAAGCGTGCACCTCAGCACACACACACACAAACACGCTCTTCGGGACACGGGGCCACGCCCCCTGGCCAAGCGCCCCCCATTTTTTTCTCGTAGTTGAGGCTTTTGGGGAAAAACATTTCTCATAGACTCACACGGCAGAAGTCATTAGGTGAGGGATCAGTTGGCCACGCTTCTCCATCGCAGTCACTTTGAAAATTACGCAAATTGAAAGTTACATCGTTACGGAGCCGGCAAATGGGGAAAAATCGGGAGGAAAACTCCGCAACTCCCCCTCAAACTAGCCGACAAGTTATGGGCTTCATATTGGCGCTACAAGATTTCGTTTTATGATAATTACACGCAGCGTTCAGATTTGTTTTTATACGATTTTGTCTAAGAAAATTGAAAAACTTTTTCCTCCGCTCGGCTTTAGTTGTGAGTCGGGAAAATAGATGGTCGATTATGCAAGAGTTGATATGGGAAGTTTATTTATATAAACAAGCTAATGGATTTTGTGGCTTTTAATTGGAGGAGAGGAATTTGTGGATGATAAAGTGTTCATAACTCTTGACTTCACGCTGGTAAAGCTGAAGTCATAAATGGGAAAAACTGACCGCTTTGGGCCAACTCTTTTTTATGAGAGTTACAAATGGTAATGCAACAAAACCAAGCCAAAATTAACAGCCTCTTAGATATCTGCTCCTTTAATTACTACATGTCATAAACAGAACAGAACCTGCCTTGGGATCCAAATCGTCAACCCAAAGACTGAAAAAAAAGAACAGAAACAACCCATTCTACTTAAAGATCTAACCATAAAACTTTACAGAACTTGGCTGGAAATCGTTAGCAGTCAAAGACTGAGTTTTAATGCCTCACTTCTGACCGAACAAAAGCACACAAAATAAACTTATACAAACACATAAAAAACTAATCACAAAGTTGCCAAGTTAAATTTTAAATCGAGTTTCGAGCTAACTTTTGATTCTTTTTATACGGTTTGAGTCACAATAAAATTGATTGAGTGATAACTTCAAATGGTAATGGCCAAAAGCTAATGCACGATGTTAATTTGTTTTGAATGAAGAGGGAAACTAAAAGGGAAATATATTTAACCTACGCAAGCCATTTGGTTAATAAATCTTTCAACGTTTCCAAACCGAAGACGAATTACCCAAAATGAGATTTGTCAAAGTCGCCCCATAGCCCGAAGAAATATCTTCTGGCATATAAAATGCAAATTAGCTACAAAATGGCTTATCTCTTGGCTCCGCTCCCCTGCCATCTATTATTCAGTTTTCCCCCCTTCCATCACTTCACAGTTTCTTATCTCCCTCGAAATGCATTTTCTTGCACTCGCTCTTTATTTATTTTTTCCATATTTTTTCGGTCTGTGGTCTGCATTTTTATTACTTGTCAAAATACAATAAAATTTATGGCAAGTTGGCAATATTTTTAACGCCAAATGCACGGCATTGGGAGCTGAAGAGGGCAAAGGGTAGGAAAACTGCAGAGGGCGAAAAAAAAAACTGCAAAGAAATCCCCCATAAATCATGCGAGTGGAGTCTGGCCAAAAACAAAGGAAACTCTGCGAAAAAAGGGGGAAAACCGTAAAACGCAAATGCGGCGCAGAAAAGTCATAAAAATAAAATTAGCCGAAATGGAAGGCACTTTGGAGCAGAGGGGGATAAATGCAGCACTTATATTAATATACCCACACATCAATGTTTTTATCGGAAAAGAATATGAGATGATAATTACCATTAACAAATTGTACAGCTCCTGGGGCTGTTGGATTAATTTTTTTATGATTTAAAAAAGTTTACATAGTTAATTTTACTTTGAGCCAAGCTTATAAAATGTACATAAATTTTTTCCGAGAAAGCTCGATGCACTTTCATCAAGAAAATCTTATAAATTATAAGTAACAATTTGGAAAATAATTCATTGGCATATAACAACTCCCAGATCCATTATTGCGCACCCTCTGAATTTCCTTGAGAGCCCTGTGGAAAATAATTAATGCCTAAACACTTTTCTTCGCGCTTACCTGCGGCTCATGATTTTCGCATATTTCTCAAGAGGTTGAAATACTCGCCTCGTTTTCCCTTCGCTCAGACCCGCTAATAATGTGAAAAATAAGAAAATGAAAGGCATTTTTGTCTAATGAATTTCCACGTGCCATCACCTCCCATTTTCAGCCTTTTCCAACTCGAATTCTCCCTGTATTTTGCTCTGTGGTACGTGCCTGTGTGAAAAGCGCATTTAAATGCGGTTGAGGCAAATTAGTTAATAAATCACACGTGGAAAATTGATGAGTTGCCATTTCCCTCTTTCGCTTGTGGGGGTGGGCTGGGCATTTCATTTGATTGTTTGCCATTTGTTTGGAAAATTATTTTCCTCTTTCTGTTCGGTTACGAGGAAGAGGAACTCCCTAGGGATTCCGTCTTTAATTAAGGGGAGCTGAGTTACTCAATTGAATACGAAATTCAGATTATGATTTCGAGCACGAAATCAAAAGGGCAATAAACCAGCAGACAATTGACGAAAATTAGTGATTGAAGGAAGCCAAGAAATCTTGCCAAGCTAACTGAAAAGTTCACGGAATAAAGCCATACCTTTAAGTTTCGAAAAAAAAACCCAAATGAACTCATTGGCATTGTGCGAGCTGTGTTCCCAATATCTCATTGTCATGTAGCTCAAATCGCTCCAACAGTCAACAAACTACAACAACCGACAATCAGCAACTACAACAACCAACAACTACGACCTATTGGAAACAACACAAACAACACTTTGCATGTGTAGCCGTGGTTCCACAAACAAAGAACACTGCCACACAAACAACAAGAGCGACCAACAAACAAACAGCCAAAAAAAAGTCAGGGGGAGTCGAAGAAAACCAAACCAAGCCAAACAAGTAGAACTTGTCTAGGCCTAAGTCCAGAGGCGTATATCTTAGAAAAAGGGATCGAATTCGAAGGGAGAAATAATATAAGAAATTTTAAATTATGTAGTGACAATGTTTCCCTGAACTTGTTTTATGAATAATTTTAATTTAAGCTAGCAATTGAGGAACTTACTTTTTCGTAAGTTAATAAATTATAAGCACACACCTTAAATCACAAAATGTATATTGTTTTGAACCTTGGGTATTACCCAAAATTACTATATAGTTCTTAAAATATTTATTTATCCCCGCCTCTGAATATTTCTTGCACGGCTAACAAATGTTTCCCTCGAGATTTCTTTGTATCGGTTTATAGAAATAAGGAGACTCCAACTTTGGCTTTGCCTCCAGGCCATTTAAATGACTTTTCTTTGGCTCTATTTGCCGGTTCGGTTTCGCTTAGCCTTATTTTATTTTTTTATTTTTTTTTTGTTTTGCACTGTGCTCTTTTCTGGCCCAAGTCTGATGTCTAAAGTCAAGATCACAAACGTGATTTGTTGTTGCCGTGGCTTTAACTTTTTTCTCATTTTGGCAAATGTTCCAAAGACTGTGGAAGATCGTGATCTTTAAACTAAGCAACTCCGTGGCTCTAAGGCTTTGTCTTTGCATTGTTTTCTTGGCCAGTTTTTTTGTTTTCTATTTTTTAGTGCTGTTGCTGACTCGATCAGTCGTCACTTTGGTACAAAAAAAAAAAAAAACAGTGGAGGAGACTTCCTTTGAACACAACTTCGATGTTGCTTGTGGTTTGTTTTGGTGTTGCTCGATTTATGTTTGTTCATTTATTTTGACAAAGCCTTTGGCTCTTTTTCGAGCCAAACAAAATTGTGTGGGTGTCCCTATGACCGTCTCTTTTTACCCAGCCTATAGCCCTCTCTTTTTATCTGTTTGAGCGGCGCCGCCCCGGCCAAAGATTTGTGTGTTTATGTAAAAGGAAAAATCCCCAAGACCCCTCTCCCCCTGGTTTATCCAGCCCCAGTACACTCTGATTGATGTGGGGCACATTAATCAAGCCATTGAAGCGGCCGTCTGTTTGAAGTTGGTCCGATTTTTGATCAAGCGATCTTGTGCCACTCATATCATCCCCCCGCTGCCCCAAAATATATATATACTCGTCGTACATATAGTATGACCGGCTCTCTATTTAGCAATGGTCGGTAATCGAAGCGATCGCCAAGTGATTTTGGTTTCGTTTACTGATCGCACGCTCGTTTCATTTTCGTTTGTTTTTGGCCACGTTAATGGGCAATTTGTTTTCAATTAATTGGCTTGTTGTGTTAACTGCCTACTGATTACTCAAGTGCTGCCTCTGGGGCTTCCGTTAAATCGGAATGTTCAATCTCACCAATCTCGGATCTCTTTCGTTTTCACTTGTACTTTTTCTCAGCTTGCCGATCATAAATTTTCTTTGAATGAGATGAAATCGTTGCTGTCCATTAATAAAGATCAAAGAAACAGCGAAGAACAGTGGGATGAGTTATTACAAATAAATATTCTAAGCAGTCAATGTTTCTGCAAAATAATAAATTTGATTCCAATTCAAAGTTCTTATCCAAATAAGTAACCGACGACTCCTAGTTCCATTTAAATAGTTAATATACATATATTAAAAAATCATTTAAAATAAAGTTTACAGCACATTGACTCCCACTGTATTCTAATGAATGGCAGACAAGTGATGACACAACCTCCGTTCATTCATCCATCTATCCATCCGACTATTTCGCTATCTTAACCAGACCATGCAAAATTCGCTTTATGCCGCATTAACAAATGAGAGCACAAATTTGAAAAGGTGGGGATGGGAGGAGCGGAGTTAGTCCGGCCTGCCCTTTTTGATATGCCGCCATCGTCTCAGCTTTTCTTAGAAATTGTTTAGGGGCAAATGAGGAAATACTTGCTGCGAGCCGAACACAGAACTCATCCGTGGAACTCAGAACATTCGGAATGGAAATGATCGCGGACAGCTCTGGAAACCGAAAGATGAAGATGAATGGCAGATGGTCTGTGATGTGTCTTTGAAGTTGGAGTGCTTTTTGTTCATTAGCTTATTGCCACTAATTTGGTCTCGGGGCACAATTTGCATATAGCTCCAAGAAGTCTTAATTGTTCGTTTGAAGTTGCGTGAAGTAGATTGAAGAAGATCAGTTCTGACTAGACATGAACTATCAAATGAACAAAAGGTTTATATAGTCGACTTCGGCTGTGCTTCCAATTAAGTCTATAATTATTAAAAATAAAGATTCTAAGATTTAGTAAGAACTTTCTAATTAAAAAGCGTTCCACAAAAGGAAATTAATTATACCCCTTTAAAGATATTTCTAGAAAAATGCAGCTCACGTTTAATATTTTATTTAAATACTCATATTAATAACCAACAGTTATTCTTCTTAAGCTTGAACAAATACTTAGCCTTAATTTAATGGGATTGTTTACAGATTTTCATATTTTTTCTGTTTGCATCCCACTCACCTACATTTGCAATCCCAACTTAACCTTATGACCACATTTTGCCTATTCTCCGTA